TTATTATTATTATTATTATTATTATTATTATTATTATTATTATTATTATTATTATTATTATTATTATTATTATTATTATTATTTATTATTATTATTATTATTATTATTATTATTATTAATTATCATTACTATTACTTAATTATTATTCTTATCATCAACTATGTAACAATTATTATTATATGATGTAAAAATTGAAGGATAAAAGATGAATTAAGATGTAAGCAATATAATTGATAATTACTTATGGAACCTCCTGTCACCATAAAAATTACTATTTGACCTATTAACCTTAACCCTAACCATAACCTTACAAAAATAACTAACAATAATTGTTACCATATCGATGAAGTAATACTTATTGAGGAGAAAAATGTCAAACATCCTCATCATACCTGTTATTGTTATTACCTGCAACAAACTGACAGACAGACAGACAAACAGACAGACACTAAACAGATAATTATTATCAGCTGTTAGATATAACTAACAACAAATATATACGGGCATATACATGCACGGACTGTCATTATTATCTCCGGTAGTATATAGTTATAATTAATGCTCACAATATATACATACATACACGTATACATGCAGACATTCACAGACATACACAGACATATGCAGATATTGACAGACACTCACAGACACACATACGTACACACACATAGGTGAAATAGTATTTGAAAATAAAGTTGTTTATTAATTGTATGCATGAATTACATCAAAAGGTATACTGAATAAAAAATGAATAAGTTTAACAATTTTGTGTGCGTGTGTGTGTCTGTGTGTCTGCGTATGCACATGCTTGTCTGCATAGGTGTGTACATTATTTTAAGAATAAAATATACAAGCCTATACAGTTCTATAGTAACATACTTATATACGAATGCACGCACATACACACACACACACATATGTAAACACGCGCATGTCACCTATAATGTTTGTTATCAGATATGAAAATTGCGCAGTTGCAAAAGTAAACATATATCAACACGCACATACACACACACACACACACACACATATATACACATACAAATACATGCATACAAACACATACATACATACACACATACACACACATACACATACACATACAGATACACATACATACGCTTATATCTATGTATACACATATATACACACACATACACATGCACAGACACACACATACACATACACGTACACACGCTTATATCTATGTACACACATGCATATCATTCAACTAACATTCCGCCTAAATGGTACAATCGAAAATCCATTTTCCACTCTTTTACTTTTCACATACCATCCAGAAAATTTCTCGTTGAAAAAAGAGAGAGAGACAAGGAGAGAGAGAGAGGAAGAAAAAAGAAAGAAAAAAGGAAAGAGTATATGGATGTATGTATGGAATCCTTGAACTTTTCCTCCTTGGATGACAAGAAGAGAGTTAGCATGAATATGTGTATGTGTTCATCCGTCTCTATGTATGTATGGAAGCAAACTCTCGATGCTGTGGAAAAAGAGTCCGGTGATGATGATTGATCTCGAGAATAGTGATGGCGTCAGGCTGCGCTTTTCCAATAGATGCGTGTATGTGTATGTGAAGCAATGATGGCAAATATCACTGATCATCATCATCATCATCATCATTATCATCATCACCATCATTATCATCATCATCATCATCATCATCATCATCATCATCATCATCATCATCATCATTGGCTGCAGCATCAGCAATAAATAGGCACTAGCAAAATAGCATTTTGATCGCGCGGCTGTTTTCAAATAAGCCGCGCGTTATTTTGTTCTATTCGTTCTTGCTTGCTTGCTTTTTCTTCCTCCTTTTATTATTATTATTATCATTATCATTGTTATCAGTTAGCAGTAGGAGCAGCTGCAGCAGCAGTAGCAGTAACAGCAGTAACAGCAGCACAACCACTATTACTACTATTACTACTACTTACTACCACCACCATCATCATCATCGTCATCATCATCATCATTATCATCATCATTATCATCATCGCCATTCAGGACCATTGCTAACAAGCAAGCAGTGCGTGGTAGCAGCTGGAGCAATAGGCTATCATCAGAAAGCTTCCCTTTTGCTCTAAAACTATACCCTATCCCATTTCTATCCATCTAATCTATCCTGTACTAAGTACTACCACTATTACTACTATTACTGCTACTATCGCCACTACCACTATTACTACCACTACTATTACTATTACTATTACTGCTATTACTACCATTACCGCTATTACTACTCTTACTACTACTATCACTGCTACTATTATTATTATCACCATTATCACTATTATCACGATTACTATCGCGACAATTTCTAAATATCAGCATTTTTTTTCGTTTTGATAAAAATTTCCGGAAAGGTAAGGGATATATCTATATACATTATGTGTGTGTGTGTGTGTCTGTCTGTCTGTCTGTTTGCGTCTGTGTGTACATGTATATGCAATATCGAATCAATTAATCTATTAGATCCGAAAGAATTGATTATAAGTTAACACTGATTCAACTGATAATGAAAAAAAAAAAGTAAGAGCGGAGATGGCGGGAGAGGAGAGAGGAAGTGGAAAAGGTTGAAAAAATAAATAGACAACAAATTTGACAAAAATTTATCAAATTAAATATCTTATTTCGATAATTTATAGATCATATGAATATTTGTTTAAATTTCAATCGAATGATAGTGATTATCACTGTAATAATCTGATTAGTGATAATAATAATAATAATAATAATAATAATAATAATAATAATAATAATAATAATAATAATAATAATAATAATAATAATAATAATAATAATAATAATAATAATAATAATAATAATAATAATAATAATAATAATAATAATAAT